GATAAATATAATAAATTTGAATTTAATATAAAATTATAGATTAAACAATAAAATATTTAAAATTATATAAATACATTTATAGTCGATAAAAATTATTTACAATTTCAAATTTACAAGAAAAAATAAGAAATGGCATGATTTATACTTTACAAAAAATAAATTAAAATTTTAACATAAAAACTTTAAATATACATGTATAACCAATTTAAAAAATATATAAAAATCATAAATTAAAATAGAAAAAAATTATATAAAAATATGTATAATTAATATAAAAAGTTTTAAATTTTAAATTTAAATAAAAAAATGACAGTTAGAGGTGGAAAACTGAGCTCGGCCCGGAGGGCCGGCCCGCCAATATATTTTTATAATTTATTTGAAATTTTATCCTTCTTCTTTTATAATTAAATTACTAAATCTGATTTCAATTTTGTAAATATAAATTTGTGAAATTCCAAAGACTAACGACACTAATCCTTGCAAAAAAATAATTATTTATTATTATTTTATAAATCTGATTGTAGTAAATGAAATTTTATCTCTGAGAAAAAATATAAAAACCTATACTCAACTATAAAAATCATTTTTTTGTGGATAAATATAAAAACCTTTTACATGCTGATAGTTAGAGGTGGCAAACTGGACTCGGCCCGGAGGGTAATTTCTGTAAATACAAATTTGTAAAATTCTAAATACTAACGACACAAATCCTTGCAAATAATAATTATTTATTATTATTTTTTAAATGTGATTGCAATAAATGAAAGTCTATATCAAAGATTAGTGTAGTTGCTTTGATTCTGTTCATATGCATTTGTTGCAATGTAAGCAAAAAATATGACTTATACATGCTTATTTGATTAAGTTGCATTCAAATCCCGTTCAGACAACATTTTTTTGGTCCTTAAAAAAATTGTAATCCATTTTTTTTTTATCATACTATGACTTTTGGGTGTTAACATATTAGTGTTACTTATTTAATGAGTTTTTGCCTTCTGTATAGTAGGCACAAGAAACGAAAATCACACAAGAAATGACATATTTAGTAAGTGTTGAACTCATCCCTCCAATGATTGCTAAGAAATGACACTGAATGAATAGCGTTTTCATATTATAGGTAAAAGCTGATATTTTAATTCTATATTTGCTTGATGTTATTGTTACCTTGATTTTGTTGATGAATATTATAGTTAGCAATGATTTGTACGCATTTTTCTTTTTATATCCCTTTCTCATGTTAGCATGGTGTATTATAACGTATTATGGTGTATTATGATGTAGTTGTATGTAAAATTAATTATTCCTCTGAATAACAGATTTTTGTTTGTGGTTGATATTTGTAAAGCTCTGTGTCAATGCTGTAATTTTTTCACTTGAAATATAGAACAAAATAACAACACAGATTTTTGTAAATATAAGGTTTGCAGTGCGATTAACCAACCACGGCGGACAACAAAAATTTTGATCTTTTTTTTTCATGCATCGCACGGGTAATATACTAGTTCTTTCTAAACACAACTCTATTTTTTTCCTTTTCTAATTCTCTCTAATTTTTCATCTAAGTGCTACAACACTTGCTCTCTTACATACGATTTTTTCATCCTATACTACTCCTACGGTCCTACCCATAACCTCTATAGCACGGACACGCTCCTCGACAAAAATTTTGCGTGTCGGACACGTGTGCGACACGCTCGGACACGCGGTCAATATTTGGGGACACACGGTCAACTCTAAGACACGTTTCGACACGTTTTTCCGACACGCAGTCAATTTTTTTGGACACGCGGTCAGCGCTCGGACATGTTTTTTTTTTAAATTCTTAATCTTATTTTGTTAACTAAATATAAAAGAAATAATTTATAAATTAATTTTTATCTGTTATGAAATTTGACATGAAAAATTAACAAAGTACGAAAAATTATTTATATTTATATTTATGTTATGAAATTTAAATATTTGATTGGTTATATAACTTATTATGGACTCTTTTATGTATTAAATATAAATTATATTATATATATTAAAAAATTTATTTAATATCAAAACGTGTCCAACGTGTCAAAATATGACATTTTTTAAAATTAATGTGTCGGCGTGTCGTGTCGTGTCTTATCCCGTATCCCGTGCCCGTGCATCATAGCCAATAACATATATATAAGCTTCACCAACCGACTTTGATAACCACTTAAACATAATAATATTCAAACTATGACTTCTACAACTTTCCATATTCATCTTGGCAACCAACTTTGTTTCCTTTTTCTATTTGTTTAATCCTTTTGTTTCTTTGACCAATTCAACTCACATTCCTTTCTTTCAAGAATGCTCTAGCATGGCGGTGCAACTTTGGTTTCTAGTTGAATCTATTATCTTCCATATGATTCTAGCTTGGCGGTGGAAACAAATATGAGTGGCAAAATCAAATTTGATTTCCAACAGAAACGAGGTTTGACCTTTGAATAAAAGGTTTCCCCAAACACACCTCTTTTTCTCACAACCCAAATCACCTGACATTCACGAGATTCGTAAGGAAGGCAGAGAAGACGAACAAAATTTGCAAGCAATTGAAGGTTCAGAAGGGAAGATTTGCAAAAAGAAGGACAGGATTCTCGAACAGGGTTCACTGACTCCTCTTTCTTTCTTATTACCCCCTTTCTATGTTGTTTGGCTGGTATTGTTCATTGTATTGTCTCTCTGCATTAAGGATTATAGCTGCTCAATTTTGTTGTCTCTATCTTTGTATTTTTGTTTGACATAGTAAATGAATACATAAAGGAAAGGCTGATAATTACCTATTAAATAAATCATTAGCTGGCTGGGTGAAAAGAACTTTCTTTGTTTTTTCTTTACATAATTAAGGTCGTTTTAAATATTTTATGCAAAGTTAACTTTATACTAATGGTGGTCATCTCAATCCTCTAAGTGAGGCGCTAAAAGTCATACACACTAACTAATCATTCAAGCTCTAATATTAAACTTGTAGCCTAAAGGATGTGCCTGTTACATGCCGTTCTAATTTGTCAACCCATGCCAGACAAATATGTTGAACATAAAATGAAATTGAACACGGGATCCAAGACACTTTTTTTTTTAATCATTAGATGAAATCTTGTTCTAGTATCACAAACTGAAAATGAATTCAAGGTATTTAGTAATTTTAGCATAAGTAACCCAATAATAATACATATTAAAAATTGTAAATTATCTTATTAGCATTTCTTTCTTTCTTTACGGAGTGATTGTAGCAAGTCAAATAATTATATAAACAATTAAGTATACACGGATCGATCAGCCTAATTTATTAAGTAAAAAGTTATAATGTGTTTCAAAATAATTTAAAGTAATTCCGTTGATAATTTTTAGATTCTAATCTGTTTTTTTGTGCAGGAACCAAATTATGAGGATCTGCTGAATCATGATCTACTGCAGTCTTGAGAGAGAACCCGAAGTTGTTCGAGTCTAATGTGAGGGTATGAGAGAGAGTGGAATTTTCACCAATGCAATGTCACACAAGTAATTCAGCTAATTCTTTCGGTCAGTAAAGCACGCTCGTTGATTTTCTAAAATTGTGCGTGTCAGACACGTGTCCGTCACGGACACGTTTCGACACACTCTGACACACAGTCAATATTTTAGGACACGTGGTCTAATTTCCGACACACTTTAACACATTTTTCTTACACGCAGTCAACTTTTTCTGATACGTGATCTATGCTCGGACACGTTTTTTTTAGTCTTAATTTTATTTTATTAACTAAAAATAAAAAAATATTTATAAATTAATTTTTTTCTGTTATGAAATTTGACATGAAAAATTAACAAGGTACGAAAAATTATTTTTGTTTATATTTATGTTATGAAATTTGAATATTTGATTGATTATATGACTTATTATGGACTGTTATATCTATTAAATATAAATTATATTATATATTAAAAATATTATTTAATATCAAAACGTGTTTCAACGTGTCAAAATATGTCATTTTTTAGAATTAACGTGTCGGCGTGTCGTATCGTGTCCCGTGTCCAGTGTTAGTGCCTGTGGTTGTGATTCAACACTCTCTCACAGGTACTCATGTCTAAAATTTTATTATATATTATAAAAATATTGATCAATATTTTATTAAATTAATATAATAAAAATTAAAAATGGATACAAAAATATTATAGTATATTAGAGATTTTTAATTTAAAAATAAATAATACATATTTACATCTTTATTTCTTTACAAAATTGCTGAAACTAACACCGAATCTTCTAACGTGAAATTTCCGTAAAAAGTTTGAGGAACATGGCATTTGAGTAATACTTTTATCAAAATAATAATATATTGATCCTTGTCCCCGTAAAGTTGACATAAAATTTAGAAGGGCAAAAATATTAATATATAAATAATGGATTTCCAAATTTAGCCTTTGAAAAAGTCTCATTTCAATGAAAGAAGAATAAATATTTTTTTTGTCCTCACCAGATTTCACGATGTCCGCTTTAGTCTCTAGCAAATAAAAAGGTTATTCGTGGTCTCTAAAAAATTTAAAATGAACCCATTTAGTTGAAATCGTGGTCCCTCACAAATTCAAAAAAGACCTATATTAATCCCTCAAAAGGACTAAAATGGATTCACTTTGAATTTCTTAAGGACCACGAATAGCCTTTTTATTTGTTAGGGACTAAAGCGGATATCGTAAAATTTGCTGAAGACCGGTTCGGGAATGAACATTAATGTCTAGCAGGATAGCTAATATTTGTATCTACGGAGCATATGGTAAAAATGACAGGCAATGAGAAGTCTTGCACTTTATGCTAACGTCTGATAGTATGAACAATGGATATGTGAGTCACCTGCTTAGTGGATAAGATGTGCTCTGAGCAAAAGTGTGAAAGTTGTAACCATGTTGAGTAGCCTTGTAAATACTAGGATAGGTTATTAGATAAGTTCCCCAGCCATGTTGACTAGCCAAGAATGAAAACCTAAATAGTATTAAAACAGGCCTCACTAAGCATTTTCTTCTAACACCACTTCCTCTGTTTCCCATGGCTCCTCACAAGAACAACAACAACATCAAAATTCATAAGCACATCTATGTTGGTCCTCCATCATCTGCAACCGAAACATCTATTCCTCTCACTGTCTTTGACATGTTATGGCTCAGGTTCCATCCACTTGAGTGTGTCTTCTTCTACTCCCTTAACGATTCACACTCATCAGACCCATCTTTTTTCATTAACAAAATGGTTCCAAGACTCAAAACCTCACTCTCTCTCACCCTCCAACACTTCCTCCCTCTAGCTGGCAACATCGTTTGGCCTTCTGATTCGGAAAAACCCATTGTCAAATACACCCCCGGTGATGGTGTTTCAATGGTCATTGCAGAGTCTGATGCTGACTTCAACCATATCATGGATAATTCACCCCAGGAAGTGGTAAAGTCTCGTTCTTTAGTACCCCACTTGGAATCATCAGATTCTCTTGCTTCTGTTATCTCTCTACAGATAACTCTGTTTCCAAACAGTGGATTTAGCATCGGTATCAGCACCCACCATGCTGTTCTTGATGGGAAATCTTCAACTATGTTCATCAAGGCATGGGCTTCTCTATGTCAAAACTGTGAAGGATCACCATCTCTGGTGCCAGAGTTAGTGCCCTTCTTTAACAGGGAAGTCATCAAGGATCCAAGTGAACTTAGCATCATGTTCACAAAAAATTGGAGAGAATCTGTGTCCAAAATATTCCCTGAAGAAAACAGTGATGGGCGATGCGTGAAGATTCTACCATTCCAACCAAAACTGGAGGACACAGTTCGAGCAACGTTCGAGCTCACACAAGGAGATTTGGAGAAGATAAAGGCAATGGTATTATCCAAGTGGGACACGGTGGAAGAAGGAGCACAATTATCAAAGCCACATACTTTATCATCCTTTGTTCTCACATGTGCTTATGTTTCTGTCTGCATTGCTAAAGCTATTCAAGGAGTTGAAAAGGACAAAGATAAATTCGCTTTTGCATTCCCGGTGGATTGCAGGGCAAGATTAGAGCCTCCAATTCCTGAGAACTATTTTGGTAACTGTGTGTGGGGTCATTTCATTGATACACATCCAAGGGATTATACAAAGGAAGATGGGGTCGTCATTGTTGCTAAGTGCATTCATAATAAAATAAAAAGCTTTAATAAGGGAGTTTTTGGAGGAACCGGGGGTGGGTTTTCTAGAGTGAAAGCTTTGCAAAGTGAGGGAGCTGAAATAATGGGACTAGCAGGGTCAAATCAATTTGGTGTTTATCGCACTGATTTTGGTTGGGGAAGGCCTGCAAAGGTGGAGATAATATCAACGGATACAGGAGGTTTAAGCTTTGGCTTGGCAGAGAGTAAGGATGGGAAATGTGGGGTTGAAGTTGGGCTTGTTCTCAATAAAAATGTTATGGAACTCTTCAATACTTTATTTCATGGAGGACTACGCGTTGATTGATTGGAGCTATTGCAAGAAAAAAGGGACTACCTCATCACTAGGTTTGAGGTTGTATTCAATAGCAAAAGGACATAAGCACAAGTGCACAACTACTCTTTCTGAATATGCAATAACTGTTCTCCTTTAATTGTATTTTTCTTTAGTTCCCCTTAATGAATTCGGGTCGTACTGTTTCAAACGCTTCACATTACAGCTAAAATTTATTTGAAATCACAATTTGATTTTATTGCAATTAACTACTCTCAAGTATTATTTTTTTATAATTTTAATTGAATAAGAAGCTACCGACACGGCATTATTCGTCTCATATTCGTTGCTTTCTTCTGTCTTCTCTAACTTAAACATGAAATGTTGTACTGGTACACCACCCCATTTGTCTCCACTAGTATTTTTTAAGAAGATCTGGAGCACACAGCATGAGAAAACAATGTCGTGACGTATCTAACAAAGTCCAAAATCTCGAAACACCATATATTGGAAGAGTTAAACTCCTAATTCCTAGCTTCAACATGATCAACGTTAAGAAAAACAACTGAACAACACCAGCCTCAAGATGGAAAAGAAGTTTTAGTAACACCTCCTGTTTCCAGCAACACAGTAAGCAAGAGGCCAATGTGATTATTGCATGTATATAAACATGAGCTTTCACTTAATAAGTTAAGTTTTGAGTTAAATTGATATTTTATATGGTGTCAGAGTCTGGGTACAATCTTTGCCGTCTCTTTTTATTTTTTAGAATTTTTTAACATAGTCAGAGTTCTGATCCATAATCCATCTTTCAAGTTTAATGAGCTATCTTGTGAGAGAACGTATTAGAAATAAATAAATTATTAATATAGACTCATCCAACAACTTGAGTCTTTACATGGTATTAAAGTCTTGGTATTCTGAATTTGATCTTCTCCGCCTCCCAATTCCTTTGTCAAAATTTCTTAGCATAAATCGATTGAACCTGATTCATCATCTAATCTTTTAAGACCAATAGACTTTTTTTATAAAAAGTGTGTTAAAAATATATAAAATAATTAATATATCTTCGACCAATAATTTAAACTTTTGACTTCGATCGATTATTGCGCGTAAAAGTGACAGCTATCTCGGCTCATGCATTGCACATTCACGCACTTAATTATATTATTTTATAGTAGAAAAGGACAATCATTTTAAATAAAAAATACCATACCCTGGGAAAGCAAAATAATCACTCCCCGTATTTAGATGATATATAATTAATTATTTTAAGAGAGAAAGATATAACTTATATTTTTTATTTAAAATTTATTTAAAGTAAAAATCACTCACTTTCTTTCCAATAATTTATGGGAAATAATTTTCTTATGTTGTAGGAAAATGCTTATCTTATGTTGTAGAAACAAGATTGCAAGTGGGACCCATAGGTAAGAGGAGAGAGAAAAAAAGAAATGGGACCCACCTAGCTTTTGTGTGTGTAGGAAATGTAGTTATCTTATGTAAAAGTAGATAAATATAACCCATAATTTATATTGCTTACATTTTTCTTTCACTTAAAATTACATAATTTTATGTTTTTTAAAAAACAATTACTAAAACACACATATATATATATATATCATTTTAAATAACACAAATTTATGTCATTTAAACTGAAATTACGATGTTTTGATATTTTTTGTACTCTCTTTCTTCCGATTTCGTGGAGGACGGAGAGTAAAAAATTAAACAGCACTAAAATACAATAATTTTACTTAAAATAATATAAACTTGTATCTTTTAAAATAAAAAATATTTTTTTCTTAAACCACTAAACACAGAGACATTTTGAAAAGGGTTATTTCAATTCTAAATATATAGCTATGACAAAATTTGCTTCAAATCGGATTAGTTATGATTAATCAATAAACTTACGGAGAAATCCAAAAAGTATTAAGAAAATATTACTCTATATAATAATAATTTTTTATTTTTATACTGATGGTCATGTAATAAATCCAAGAAAATAAACAACCTAACAAGTAAATTTCTATGTAAATAAGAATAAGATAATATAAAACAGAATAGATTTTTTAAATGATAACTAATAATAAATAATCTCAAATTAAAAGTACTACTACTAAAATTAAAGTCCTAAATTAAAATCCTAAGATCACGTATCCAATATACAACACATAATCACTCACTTCATTCATAAATTTTCCAAAATATTTGTTGTTTTGTTGTTATCCTAGGCTCCTAGCGATCCATTGTATTTTTAAATTAAGTTATTTCATTCTTAATTTTTTTCAAAATAATTATTGACATATTCATCAATCAAGTTTCAAAACCTAACTTATACGGAGTCACAATAAAAAATATAAGAAAATCTTATTATTAGCAAAAATATTAGACTTTAATTTAAAGGATTATTAGCAAAATTTTTGCAGTTTAATAACTTAATACTTAACCCATGTTTTATGAGTTTGTGTGATTATCAACTTAACCTAATCTATGAACCCAATCTATCCAGTTATTTATAGGTTGAGTTGTGTCTAAAGCGAAAGTCCTTTTCCCTCTTTGTTATTCTTTTTTATCCCCCTTATACACTTGGGTTTATGCAATCCAATTTATACCATGGATAAATTTTTGCTTAATTCTTCGCATGATCATGAAGATTTTGATAAGGCTTTGAGGTTGGATATCTTCTTATTTTTATTTTTTCGTAATATCTTTAATATTATCCAAAATATAAATGCATCTAAAAATCTAAATAAAATATAAAAAAATATACGGAAGATCACTTTTTTCAAAGTAAAAAAAAATTAATTAAGAATATAAAATCAGATAAAATAGAGTTAAAGTTTTAATAAAAAGACTCAAAAATGTGTCATTTTACAACACAACATGTTATTAACAATGTCCTAAAAACATTTAATATCCTATATCAAATACTTTCAATTACTTAAAGAAAGAAGTTTAATTTTTTTCCAGTTTCTAATATTTTATCTAATACTTTATATTTTGATTTCTTTAACTATTAAACTAATGATAGTCAATTTGATTAACAGTTGCCTTTATTTTTTGTATTTATTGTTTTTTCTGTCATCGTTAGGAATGCCAAACTAGTACAAGAATTAACAATGGTTAACCATATATAACAGGAGAAGAATTTTGGTTGTGCGCGCGTGATGTTTGTGTGGTTGTGCGCATGCATGAGTATGACATCATGAGAAAAAAGAGGGGTTTATAGAAGTTGAAGTTTTGGGTTTCTTTAATTTTAGTTATCAAATCTGAAGGTTTCATTCTTGGGTTTATTTGTTGGTTTTAATATTTTTATCGTAAATGTAGGTAATTTATCTACATTTATTTCCAAAAAAAATATTGTTTTGAGTTAAAAAATTATAATAAAAAAGACTATTATAACTCTGAAATAAATTATAATTACAAAAGTTACTTGATTTTCATCCCAAGATGATATCATTTTGAGTTTAATGTTAATAACTTATCTATATTAACGGTAAAAAACACTAACCCTTATTTGTTTAATGGTGGTCTTTTATTTATAAGTATACATAAGTCTTACTATAAGTTTTCATTAAGCTTTATAGCAGATTTTAAAATAAAAAACTTTTTCATTTCCTAAATATAAATTTAAATCATTATATCAATTAATTAATTTATCTTTATCTTTTTCATTAGCCTCTGACTGACATTTAAACTTAATTACCCGAGTAAATGAAGGTTAACGACCGGTCAAACATGGACATATTGCTATTGCTATATAGTTTAGAAAAGATGACAAATTGCTATATGAGTTTGGTGTTTGTCATTTTAAATAACATAAGTTATGTCATTTTAGGAGAGAAATAGACACAGAAAAATGAAAATCATGGGAGAGAGAAAGTGGATGGTTTTTTTAATTTAAAATTTAAATTTTTTGTGTCTATATCTCTTTTAAAATAACATAACTTTCTGTCATTTAAAATGATAAATACTTTTTACTAAGTGTATAGCTTTAAAAGAATGGCAAAGTGATCATCTTTTTTAAAAATGGAGACACAATGGTCAATAACCCCTAATAAACGCCTTGAATCTAATTAAAGTCATTATGTTCGTACAAAGCACTTATACGTTAATTATGGTCAACGATCTATGTCCAAACAAATTGACAATCTATATACAAAATTAAAAATTGTCCTAACAAGCACATAATTCTCTACAACTATAATAAGAACGAGACATTATTATTAGGAAAAATTGTTTATCTTTTTAAATGACACAACTTATATTCTTTCACTCTCACAAAGAGGTGGGACCCACACCTTTATTTTTTTGTCAACTCTCTCTCCTCCTTTATCTATCTCTTTCTCTTTTTTAAAATAACACAATTTTACATCCTTTAGAATGACACACACTTTGCCCTTATTATTAACTAAAATATCTTATTAAATAACTCAAATCAAAACATTAGACTTATGTGTATTGATTGATAGGAGAGAACTTTATTGCTCTTATCAGTGGCGAACCTATGTATATTTTAGTGTGTGCAAGTGCACACACAATTGTTTGGAGAAAAATAAAATAAAATATATCTTGGGTCATGAATAAAAATCACAGGATCCAATTTAATATTTTAAAAAAAAGTCGACTCGTGATCACTTTAAAATCTAAAATAGACCCATGTTAGTCCTTTTGAGGGATTAATGTGGATCTTTTTGAATTTCAGAGGACCATAATTTTGATTATCTGAGTCTATTTTTGAATTCTGAGGGATCACAAGTAGACTTTTTTTTCCTAAGAGATTAAATTGAGGCCCGTAAATTTTGTTGAGGACCCAAAATATTCTATTGTAACAGTTTAGTTGACTCTTGATTACTTTTTTTATATTAAATTAAAGTTTTTTATATATATTCTTTTATATTTTAATATATTTAAAATTTTCTTTAAAAATTTTTTCCTTTATTTTTTTATTCTAAGTATGCAGACATTAAAAAAAGTTTCTAGGTCCGCTGTTGGCTCTTATGGTCCCGTAACCCATCCCAGTGAACCGTTGAAAGAATAAAAAAAATGTTTTAATACTTGTATGTGAAAATTCATCCAAGTATTTTTTTCAGTTTTCGATATTTTAGTAGGATGTTTTCAATTTTGAACACCATTAGTGTTCATTTCATTCAACTTGTGTTTATTATGCTT